CAGTCTCCATGCTCTGACGCTGGATTCATTCACGTTTAACTCTCTTCCAGCAACATGGTTACCGTGTATCTCTGCATATTTGATGACTTTGAGTTTTTCTGATGCAGTGTAGCTCTGTTTCTCTTTACGCATCTTGTACTCTGTAAGTCTGAATGATGATTGATAACTGCATCGTAAAATCATCCCTTTTTATGTAAAATTTAGAGCAAGAAAAACAATGCTTATTTTTCAAGCTCCGCCCCTTCTCTAATGGTAGGAAATATAATTATCAAACACTGTTCATTAATTAAAAAAATAATTATCAAAGGCTACCAAGAACTGTTTAATTACCCAAAGCCAAATCTGAGACACTAATATCGCTTGGGGATGAGTTTTGTTTATGTAAATATGGACACACGCTTGGTATGCATTATACCGGTAAGCATAACTTCATAACACGCTTGGAATTAATTTGAAAAGAAAATATTCAGGTATCTCTTTTATTATCTTTGGTTAGATAATTATTAAAAAGATTAATTTTAAATGTTCACACATGCACACTTAAAATATGTAGAGTAAAAAAGCTGACGCGCTACTTTCATTTAGATTTCGTAAATTTTTCATCATTTTATTTTAAGTTACTGTACTAGAAAAATTAAAGTCACATTTGGGTGCGCATTTTACATAGGAACTGCGGTGTTTTTTTCAGGATTTTCACCCCCAACTTTGGGGGTTCGTCTTTTACACCATTGCGGCCAATACACGCGACTTTACGGCAGTTACTGGATGACCAGCCTTTTATTTTTAAAGTGAATTTGATATAAAGTTATCAAGATTAATTTGATTTTGTAATTAATTGATGTTTTTTCAACAATCAATTTGCAGAGTGTCATGTCTCAAAAAGATGACAGATAGTTGCAATTTATTTTTTCAATGTTTAAAAAAAAAACAATGTAAATACAATGTATTGGTATTGATGTTTTATTAGGTTGTTCCTTGGTTTCATTCATGAAAAAAAATATAATGAGCAATTATTTTTTCACTCTAAATGTGAACACCTCTTAGATCCATAAAATGTTAGTGATTATCACCTCTGAAAAACCCAGTGGGGGGTATTTGTCCCTTTTGGACAGTTCTAGTTTGGCATTATTTTCCTTAAGCCTGGAGTCTCCAGTAATTCATCTTTTGACCATTATAATCATGAATATCTTGGAGCTGGACAAGTTCTATACCAATTATTATGGCCAAAAATCTCATCATATCATCCCACAATGTGTCATTCCATTTTCTGAATCTCAACTGTCATTTCAAATTTTGTCCTAGTGGAGATGCCAAGAAATCGGCAGCATATTTGTTGGTTTCTTGAACCATAATGGACTAGGGTTAAAATGCGTATGGCGAAACACAGCCCAATAAATGCCCTCATATCTTACATCAGTAATTATCTTTTGTACATAGTAAAATAAATGAAATTCATATATTTTTCTCTAAAAGTAACAAAAAATTAAAAAATAATGCAGTTGGTATTGCTAAAAAAATTTTACTAACTTTATAACATGCACAAAATTTTAACTTGACATCAGATAAAGATTAATATATTAATATTTCACTTAAAACATGCCACATCATACCTCTTTTTTCATCTGTTGCTGTTGTATAACTATGAAGCACTGCTTTGCTAGTCTGAGAACTCTATTCCAGTCATGTTGTTGGAACTGCTCAGTGGTGGCTGCCCATATGTTAAGGTTATTGACTAGTTATTGTTTGTTACTGAGTTTCCTTTTGACCAATAGTTTATACATATAGTAAGAGCAATTGAAATTTTAACATTTATTGAAAAAAAAAAAACATGAAACTACAATGTTCACAATCATGATTCAACAAGCTAAAAATAAACAAATCTGTCATACATCTTGTTTTATAAAACATATCTTTGTGCTTCTTGGGGGCTAATCACTAAAAAAAAAAAAAAAAAAAAACCAACCTCCTGGGTTGACACCATTAGGAAATTATTACACTGTAACCATAGAAACCTGGGTTGACACCATCAGGTTGTAGGTAAGGGTACTAGGGTTGACACCATAAGGTTTAAATGAAGGGACCTGAGTTTACACCAGCTGGTAGCTATATTTAATTAATTACATAATGCAGAAAAAATTTATCTGAATTGGAAGTAAACAGGCAACAGTACAAACTATTGTGAGATCCCCAACAATGGCATTAGTAACATAGGGCTTGTCTTCCAAATTGTTAAATGTAAAATAAATTAATAAAATTTTGAATCTACTTTAAATATACTTAAATAGTTGTTAAATAAAGATTTTTCCACTTTCAGAAAGAAATACCATGTTAAAAAAAACATACCATGCCTATATTCATAAACTCTACAAGGGATGAAAGCTGTCATCTTGGAAAAAATACCCCCACCCTCCTCAGCACCTATTTTTGGACTCTAAAACATTACTTTATTTCGTTGTCATGGTTCTATTCCCTACAGTGATGATTTTCCTAAATGTTGATATGTCTGTCAGTCATCAACACACTGTTCAATCAACAGAAAATGGATAATTTTCTCTGATTTGGAGGCTCATCTCTCCAAATTGACTTGGAAGGAAAGGAAGTTTCCACATCTTGCATTGACAGTCTTTCACAGAGTTAAAATTATTACAAATTTCCCTGTCATTAAAAACTATTCAAGGACAACCTTGGTTGTCAGACTCCCATCCCTTTGAGTGGATCCTGCAGAATAGTTTTTGACTGAAGACATTGGGCAAAATGAAGCAGTATGGTTGATGCTGCTACAGATGTAACATGGGAAGGGTCGCACCTTTGCAAATATATTGCAGAAAATGTTATTATCTCTCACAAACCAGTCTACTGGAATGTTAGAATATCTCAAATGAGCAGCTGCCCGGGCTGGAAAGTTTTATGGTATTCATAACCCTTATGATCATGCTTATCGCGGCCAAACTAATTTTTTGTTGGTATTTCGTCATATCCTATTTACACACCAAAACACTGTTTATAAACCCTGATTTCATTGGTTGAAAGTTCAAAAGCTCATCAAAAAGACACAGGTTGTGTTCCTTGTTTACCCCAGTTACAAAATGGTGGAATGTATCAACACTGACAATTTATTCCTAAACAATGCCAATATAACCGCATTTATTTTAAATTATCTTGATCTTTTGATAAAGAAATTGATTGTGATGGATTTCAATATGTTGGTTTTATTAATATCAGCGAATTTTTACCGGAGATACAGATATATTCGTTGGATACAGTTCATTTCATTCTCAAAAATAACAAGATAAGAAGTTGAACTGTAACTACATTTATTAAAAAAATAACATGTTTGCCTTGAGGGCTCATGCAACAAACCAAGAATAAAAGATAAAGTACTATAGATGGAAATGGAATAAGTTGACATAAAAAACAATCTATAAAACTTTGTATTACTCTGTGAAATAAATATGAATGCAGGCTGAGGACAAGTAGACTTGTCTATGTGTCGCCATGTTCATTAGCACCTGATGCGAAGTATGTTTGCAGGTTGGGTACCTGAGTAAGATGCAGGCTGAGGGCAAATATTTGCCTATATGAACATGAACACTAGCGCCTGAGAAATCAGAGTAATTTTAATGTTATCAATAATGAATACTGTAGATTCCTTATTTTACGCGAGTACTTAATATCACGAAATGGCCCAAGGGCGTCAAATCGCGAGAACAATAATTCGCGAATCGGTGATTTATCTAGAGATTTTACATACATTAAAGCACCATAAAAATAAAAGCGAGTAATTTTATTTCGCTAGTGGTGCTTCTTGCATAATTACGCGATAATTTATTCCTCGCGTATATTTAGGAATCTACAGTATGTAATAACACTAGTTCAATGAGTATTCCATAACCAATAAGCATGGTTCAATTCAAAAAGTTTCCCATGCTTGGGAAAGATCAGTGGTATAACGCCCTCATGGTACAAAATTTGTCGATCATATTTGTCTTTTCTCTGGTACAGTCTCTTTCCTCCTTGCTTGACATCATCTGTATTCTTGCTTACGTTCTCCAAATACATTGAGGTGACATGAGCTGTAGAATTACAAACATCACATGAATTCACATCTGCCCCAGCAACAACTTGTTTTAGCAATTTGTCATCTCCCTTTGACCAGTCAATTAAAATGTTTTTGTTTTAGAGTGATAGCACATTTAACTGAGAACAGCTTATGGTATTCGAAGAACTTGGTGGACCAGATGTTGTTAATTTCAATAATACTGGCCAAGTAGCCATCAAGTTCATTTTGCCTCCAGGGGTACACTGTTGGGGCACACATAATTCTCTTATAACGACAGAAAGCTGTCACAAATTCGCTTATGCTCAGATTCCTCGCCAAACGTTAATCTGGTTTGTCATCTTTTTTGTCTGTTTGAATCTCAAACGAGGGAATCAATAATGCACATAGATTTACATCTTCCCCTCTTAACTTCTTCTCTACCAGTGCTGCTGCTGTAGTTCACTACTACACACAGCTCTTATCTTTCACCGCAGGAGCAGTGTGAGGCTTAATTACCAGACAGATTTTGCAGCTACAAGAATTTGCAGCTGGAATAACTAGAACACATGTGTAAAGCTTATTATCTCATTTATTAATTGGAATATTTTAAAAATCAAAAGTGTTTTACAATCTTAAAAGTTTAAATTTCACATTTTCTGAATATTGTCCAATATGACCAATTAGTTACTTCACAGTTCTCAATTATTTACAACAGAAACACTCATTTTCCAAGAATAATATACAGTTTCTGCATATATGTCATCTCAAAAGTTCCTGATGCCACTTGAAGAAACAGTCATTTTTAATACAAAGTCTGATGTTGCACTGCCTGCATCCAGTTGACACTTCATGCCTTTTCTGCTGTTTTGCACAGCCCTTGCAGCATTCTGGCTTTTCAAACTGAATGGGCCAGTGGGCAAGGCCACAATTTCCAGTTACTGCTGGGGCCTTTCGTTTTATGCTACCCCTGAAGTCTCCAATCATTTGCTGGGCCAAAGCCTTTCTGAAGTCCAGTTGGGTCCTTTTTTTTTTCTTTGTTTGTTTTGGTTCTCAGTTTGTGGTTGGGCGATTCCTGCATACAGATGAGTGCATTTACGGCCAAGTCGAAGCAAAACCAAAACAAGTATTTGTACCATTTTTTGGCCTTTCTGCAGGTAGAGTACTGCATCCTCTTCTGATCCGCTAAGTCAACTCCAAACATGTACAGTTCTGAGACACTAGGAGCTGACACATCTTTTCTAGTTCCATCTTTCTGATGCCTTTGCATGATCCTTTCATGAGTAGGGTCACAGTTTGTACTTAGATAAGTAACAACTTTTTTGCCCTTCCAAGCAGTGGCTACAAGATTTCCTTTCTGCATTGTTAGACTGTCACCCCTATTCTTTAATTTCGCACTCTTTATGGCCTCTGGCATACCACGACGGTTCACTCGAATGGTTCCACAACAGTAAACACCTTCACGTAACAGCTGTTCGTATAGTTCGGGACTTGAGAAGAAATTGTCCATGTAAACAACATGAGACTTGTGAACAAGTTTCCGAGTCAAGTCTTTCACAACACGAGATCCTAATCCTTCTTCTGTACAACCGCCAGCTTCACGTACCATATACATTTGAAACTCGTGCACGTATCCATTTTTTGGTGAGGCTCGTTCCCACACTTTAATCTCAAATTTAGTTGGCTTGGCTGGCAAGTACTGTTTAAAGGACAGTCTTCCTTTAAAAGCTATCATACCTTCATTAACTGATTGTTCTTTGTGGGGATGATAGTTTTCATGACAAGTTTCAGAGAGTTTGTCAATAACTGGCCTGATGTGACACAGTTTGTCATGTCTTGGTTGTCCTCGGGCTGGGTTTTGTGTGGTGTCATTCATATGGAAATATTTTGAGATTCTTTCAAAACGAGTCCTGGTCATGATGGTTGGAATACTGGGTATTTCAAATGGCCATGTTGATTTCCACGCCAGTGTATATGACGGCACTCCGAGGACTGAAAAAATGATGTGGATTCCTAAGAACGCCATCTTCTCGGGAATCGTGGTAGGCACCCAAATTTTGTCGGGTCGTGTGACAATTGATCTCGCGGCATAACCGTTGGTTTCTTCCACAATTTTTTCAATCAAGGTTGTAGGAAAGAATTTCAAGAAAAAATCCAATTCTTTCTTGTCCTCGTCCAGCACAAAAGATGGGCCAACTTCCTCTGTAAATTCAGTCACGTTTGGTTTGTGTAACTGTCGTGACCAGGTTGCGTCGTCTATTTCCTCCTCTGACTCTTCTTCCGAAGATGAATCCTCAAAATCAGATAGAGAAATATCACTACCGATACTTCTTCTCTCTATTGCTTCAATATCTGCTTCTGTAAATCCCTCAAATTCATCAGAATTGCTGTTCGATAGAAATATGTCAAGTATGTTTTCCACCATTTTGAACTGCTTCTAGAACTATAAACAGTGCGCTGGGAATCTGCTTTCTATATATTGATAACACTGCCTAATATGGTAACATTACATATCAATTTACAGATTAGCCTTTCTTTAAACTGATTTTCATTGCTTCTGAGATGGGGTCCTCCCTCAAACTAACCAATCAGACTTACTGTAACATATGTAAAAATGTAGATATTTCAGTCAGTACGAATGCGCAGGTATTTGTTTACAGCGGTTATATCCGCCAATGCGGATTAGCGTGTAGTAAAATCTGACAGGTTTATCTGTCACTGCGAATATAAGCGAGATAAAATAAGCTGATATATCCGTCAGTGGTAGGTAAAGAGTTAACCCTTATCATGCTTTATAATATTTGTATGTTATTATAGCAGGGTGCTGTATAAAACAATAAAATCATTTTTTAAATATTGGTGTCTTTAAATTACAGTAGAATTTTTAGGTCACCTGAGTCACTCAGGTGACCTATTGCTATCCGTTTTCGTCCGTCGTCGTCCGTCGTGCGTCGTGTGTTAACATTTGAACATTTTCAGCTTCTTCTCTGAAACCACTGAACCAATTTCAGCCAATTTTGGCATATAGCATTTATGTGTGAAGGGGAACAAAATTTGTGAATTTCACGGTCCCTGCCCCCCTGGGGCCTGAGGGGTGGGGCTAAAACCACCAAAATTAATGCAATCTTTAAAAATCTTCTTCTTTACTCCTGGACAACAAGGGGTCAAACTGTTGGCATGATTGTAATAAGCATTGAGCCCTCTACCAAAATTGTGAAATTCATGGCCCCAGGGTGAGGGGTTCTGGTGCTAGGGCGGGGCTATATAGATCATATAGTGAAAGTGCATTATTTCTTTGAAAATCTTCTTCTCTACTCCTGGGTATTATTGAAACAAATTGAATACATAGTTATGATAAGCAAGGGTGACTCTACCAAAATTGTGAAATTCATGGCCCCAGGGTCAGGGGTTCTGGTGCTAGGGCAGGGCTATATAGATCATATAGTGAAAGTGCATTATTTCTTTGAAAATCTTCTTCTCTACTCCTGGGTATTATTGAAACATATTGAATACATAGTTATGATAAGCAAGGGTGACTCTACCAAAATTGTGAAATTCATGGCCCCAGGGTCAGGGGTTCTGGTGCTAGGGCAGGGCTATATAGATCATATAGTGAAAGTGCATTATTTCTTTGAAAATCTTCTTCTCTACTCCTGGGTATTATTGAAACAAATTGAACACATAGTTATGATAAGCAACGGTGACTCTACAAAAATTGTGAAATTCATGGCCCCAGGGTCAAGGGTTCTGGTGAAAGGGGGGGGGAGGGGGGGCTCTATTGATTATATGGTGAGAAAGCAAAATTTCTTTGAAAATCTTCTTCTTTACTCCTGGTTATTATTTAAACAAGTTGAATACATAGTTATGATTAGCAAGAGTGACTGTACCAAAATTGTGAAATTCATTGCCCCAGGGAAAGGGGTTCTGGTGCTAGGGCAGGGCTATATAGATCATATTGTGAAAGTGCATTATTTCTTTGAAAATCCTCTTCTCTGCCCCTGGGTATTATTTCAACAAATTAAATACATAGTTATGATACGCAAGGAAGCCTCTTCCAAAATTATTAATTTCATGGCCATTTCAGGATCAAGGGTTCTGGTGAAAAGGGGGGGGGGGGCTCTATTAATTATATATTGAGAAAGCAAAATTTCTTTGAAAATCTTCTTCTCTACTCCTGGGTATTATTTAAACAAGTTAAATACATAGTTATGATAGACTGACTCTACCAAATTTGTGAAATTTATGGCCCCAGGGTCAAGGGTTCTGGTGAAAAAGGGGGGGGGGGGAGGCTCTATTGATTATGTAGTGAAAAAGCAAAATTTCTTTGAAAATCTTCTTCTCTACTCCTGGTTATTATTTAAACAAATTGAATACATTGTTATGATAAGCAAGGATGCCTCTTCCAAAATTGTTAAATTCATTGCCCCAGGGACAGGGGTTCTGGTGCTAGGGTAGGGCTATATAGATCCTATAGTGAAGGTGAATTATTTCTTTGAGAATCTTCTTCTCTGCCCCTGGGTATTATTTAAATAAACTAAATACATTGTTATGATATGCAAGGATGCCTCTTCCAAAATTGTGAATTTCAGGCTCCCAGGATCAAGGGTTCTGGTGAAAAGGGGGGGGGGGCTCTATTGATTATATAGTGAAAAAGCAAAGTTTCTTTGAAAATATTCTGGTTAAAAAGCAAAGAAGCTAAGTGTATAGTTATGATGAGCAAGAGTGCTTCTTCCAGAGTAGTGAATTTCATGACCCCCTGGGTCAGATGTGCTGGTGTAAGGGTGGGGCTCTTGATAATATAGTGAAAATGCATTAATTCTATTAAATAATCCTGTCTGCTCTTAGTGTTAAGCAGACAAACAAAGTGATTACTTATGATGAACAAACTTCTGGTCCCAGGGTGAGAGGCTCTGGTGTTTCTCTATGGGGGGGGGGGGGGGGGGCTCTATTGATAATATAGTGAATATAGTGAATCTGTAGTAAAAATGCATTATTTCTTTAAAAATCTTCTCTGCACCTGGACATATCACAGGCAAAAAGAGTAAAAGTTTTAATAAGGAAGGGTATCTTCACCAGATTTTTGAACGTCTGGACCATTTGTTCAAGTGTTCTGGTCCTGGCCAGGGCTCTATTAATTTGTATTCTACTGAGAGGAGTTACTCCCCTTTGCCATTTACTTTTGATAATTAATCACTGTAAATAATGTACTTGAAAGGTTAATAGAATAGGAGAATTATGCAAGAATTGTTATTGTATAATACAAAAAGTACTTTCATAGTTTTAATGATCAGATAGACTTGTAAGTAGTAGATAAATAAAAATAAGACAAAAATAACTTGTCTTATGAAATGTTCATCAAAGACCAAGAGAGGCCAATGTAAGAGATTTCAACAAGGAATTAAAATATTACAGAAGCACTGATAGTTTGTTAATATACTTATGGTGAGAGTGATAAATGGGGAAGAGATTAGAACCTAATTTATGAACTGTTAATGAATACTAGACTAATTATTTTGTTGATCCTGATCACCCTATTTTTCTTGCTTTTGGGCAACAAAGGTTCACCTTTTAGTTCATTTTATACTCTATGGATTCTCTAAATTGTTGTATGATACTAAGGTGACCGTTAAGGCCCTTGGGCCTCTTGTTATTTTTTAAGATACATCAATAATCCTTATATAATTTTTTTAGTTTAAATCAGCACCAATATTACTCCAATATCAGATTCATTTTATAAACCCACCGGTGTAAGTTACAGGTGAGAAAAGGTAATGCAAGTGCATTCTACACAAAACAATACTAAAATTTCATTCTTTCAAAACAAATATGACTTTTTTAAATTAATAAAAAAAATTTGATGCTATGATATTTCATCACCATTTACTAGACGTATTCATACTGTGATACAGGTACGCTCTGATTTACACGGTTTTATTTCTGAGGCATATCAGCGACGTCCCAGTTATCGTCTTCTACATAACATGAACTGTATATCCAACAAATATATCTATATCTCCGGTAAAAATTCGTTGATATTAATAAAACCAACATATTGAAATCCATCACAATCAATTTCTTTTTCAAATGATCAAGATAATTTAAATTTAATGCGGTTATATTGGCGTTGTTTAGGAATCAATCGTCAGTGTCGATACTTTCCGCCATTTTTGTAACTGAGGTAAACAAGGACATGCATGCCAACTTTCCCGATTTTTTCGGGAGTCTACCGATTTTTAACCCTACCTACTGCTTGTCTACCGATATATTTTTTTAATCCCATTTCTACCAATTTTTAGGAATTCCGGATTTTTGTACCGATCTGCTTTAAATAGTACAGCATTTCTGTGTGAAAAAGATGGCAGTTAGAATGTTTATCAGTAAATACGGGTAAACTTCGGTATCTCGAACACTGATATGTCGAATACCACGGATATCTCGAAGTGATTCAACAGTCCCGGCCCTTTTTTCTATATTTATGATTTTAAAAAACCCCGGTGTCTTGAACACGGAAATCTCGAATACCTCGCATATCTCAAAGTAGAGTTACTGTCCCAAGTGCTATAAACACATGTGTTATCTCGAAGTCCAATTGATTTCTCGCTCCACTGAATTCACACCTTAGTACACAATGATCCCATTATGCTAATTTTACGGTCTGTTGATCGTTTCCGTTAGGACTAGCACAGGCTTCATTGGACCATTGCTGATAATCACACCATATTAGCCTTAAGCTGTTGTTTTAGCTGTTGTTTTTGGTAGTTACATTTAATTACGCAGGTTAGGTGATTTGGAGGTGTTAATAAACTGCACACTCAGACATAGGATGACACGATAATGAAACAGCGGCTTGGGGACGATTACTGTTATAAGACTTTAAATTTATCGAAAATACACGCTTATACATATAATTACATATCAAAGTAAACACTGAACACATCAAAGTGATATTGAAATCAAGAAATTAAACAAAGATATTATTTTGAGTATAAAAGTCATTACCAAAAATCTAAAACTTCATTACACGTCATGTCTGATAAGCAATCTAACGAAGGACTCGGTAGCCAAAATTCATACAATCGAAACAAAGTATCAGGCTATTACAGAAGTCGAAAAAGGTACAGAATTATAAACACGCTTTTATCTGTTGATAAATATTATAAATTGTAGTGCTTTTGTTTGTGCTTATTGGCAATTTCAATATATTATTGTAGAAAGATAATTCCTGTTTCCGTCTTAACCCTTATTACAGTGATTGGTTTATCATTTACAAATCGTAACACACATCCGAGTATCAGAAATCCTGAAACAAGCGTGATTATCACTATGAAAGCGATCGAAATTTGTAAAATGTAAGTGTTGCAGTATAAAATAAAATAATATATGCATTATAAGTGTATATGCAAATGTATTTTTAAAAAGATAATT